AAAATGTAAGATGAAAACAAAAATTAAAAATGAATACTAAGGGTTGTTTTAATTATGCTTAGTCTTTTATTTTTTTTATTTATTACAAAAAGATTTGCAAATAAATGGAAAAGTGATGTGGAAAAAATAAGTCAATAAACAGCTTATTTTGGGTGTACCCAAAAGAGGCCTATTATAAGTAATATAGTATATTATAAATAGTGATTTGTAATTAATGAAAGTCAAAAAATGTAAGATGAAAACAAAAATTAAAAATGAATACTAAGGGTTGTTTTAATTATGCTTAGTCTTTTATTTTTTTTATTTATTACAAAAAGATTTGCAAATAAATAGAAAAGTGATGTGGTAAAAATAAGTCAATAAACAGCTTATTTGGGTGTACCTAGAAGAGGCCTAAGTGTAATATTTTGGGTTTTAATTGTATCATATCGAAAAAACTTAAATGATATATATATATATATATATAAACGGGGTAGTGGTGGGTTAAAATGGAATGGGGCATAATGGGACAGGGGAAAATGGTTATCCCTAATTTAGGGTAACGGTAACACCATTGTATGTACTGTCACCTACTAACCCAACATTATTGTAATCCTTATCGCAAATCAAAATTGCTAATTGAATAGTGATATTGTCATGTAATATCTTTATTTTATCCAATATTTTACCTGCACTTAAAAAGAACAATACATTTTAATACCAAAGAATTTTTGTTACCAAAAATGTCTTGTTTGCTAAGTGTATCTCCAATGGTGTGCCATTGGAGCTGCTATTGCCAAATTATGGCAGCAGTTGATAGAAAGACACTTTTAATGGTAAGTTTTAGCAGCTGTTATATTTGGCAAATGCTAAAACTTGTGTCAAATATGGTACAAGCTTTGGCAGCCAAAGCTGGCAAGTCAGCTTCAACCAACCCCTCCCTCCCTTCCTTTTTCGTCATCCTTTCCAAACACAAAAGCAATATTCACCCAAAAATCACACAAATTTCAAACATATCAACACAGTGATTTGAACCAATTTCAGCACAGTGATTTCAAATTCCAAATTTCAATTTCAATTTCAATACAGTGATTTCAAATTCCAAATTTCAATTTCAGCAATTTGAAGCAAAAAAAAAATTAAAAAAAAATTAGAAAATCAACACAGTGAAGTAAAAAAAAAAATACTTGACAGAAATGGGTTGATTTTCTTCGTGTTCTTTGGATGATCTTCTTTGTGTTCACTAGGGTTTCAATCTTCTTCGTGATCTTGTCCAACGTCGCTGATCCATTCTAGGAGTGAGAGAGAGCGAAAGAGAGAGGATTGAGAAAAAGAAATGAGTGGGGGTAGACGATGGCGCTTGGGGGGAGGGAGACCGAGACTGAGAGGGAGATGGTAAGGGATAGAGTGAGAACAAGAAGGAGAGAGAATGAAGGTTGTCTTCGGCGATTGAGGGTATACACCGTCGCCGATCGAAGAAAGAGAGAAGAGAGTGAGAGTAAGAGGGATAGAGTAAGAGTGAGAGTGAGAGTGAGAAGGAGATAGAGATTGTTGTTGGCGATCGGGGGTTGACACCATCGCTGCTCAAACAGAGAGAGAATAAAGATGATATTTGAGAGTGAGAGAGAGAGGGAGACTGAGAGGAAGAGGGAGGACGAAATGGTGTGTGTGTGTGTGTGTGTGTGTGTGCGCGCGTGCGAGAGAGAGAGAGAGAGGGGGAGGAATAAAGGTTGGATGATTCTACACAAATCATCTCAACCATTGATGATTTGTATGTGGATAGTGATGATGAGAGAAACAGAGTCGTTGTGCTTTGTTTGGCTAATAAAAAAAAGATAAAAAAAACAAAAATAAGGCCTCGTTTGGGAACATGCTAATTTAGTAACTTTTTGGCTATTTGGCTAAAAAGGTAGGTAAAAAAACTTGTATGTTTGGGATGACTTTTTGGCTAATTACGAAAAGATGTGCAAAAAGTAGAGAGAAAAGAAAATCTTTGACTTTTTGGTATGAGTTGTTGGCTTTTTGGCTAATTTAGTAACTTTTTGGCTAATTGACTAAAATAGTAAGTCCCCAAACGGTTACAAACACCAGTTATGCAAACAATCATCTCTTCAAATGACTATTATATTCAAATGGTGGAGTGAATTATATTTAAATTTTTTTCTTCAATTTTTAATTTTTTTTTTTCATTTATATTTGTCTCGTAGGGAATAATGTAAATATATAAATTTTTTTAGAAACAGTTAAAAAAATGTCACTAAAGACAAAAAATAAATGAAAAAAATCACTAAAAAACCTATATCAAGGGATATAATTTTGGCTCGTGGCCCACAGCAGCCCGAAGCCCGCTCGCGACCTGAGGTGGGCCCCGGTCCATTAAGGCCCGTGCCCAAGCCCAACCCGAGGCCTTGGGCCAGGTCCTGGGCCATCGTTTTGAAGCCCGGCTTGGCCCATGGGGCTGGCCTGATTGGCTTTGCTCATTGGCCTGCCCAAAAGCCCGGCCCAAGGCTCGGCCCGCCCGGCTCGCCTGAGGCCCAGTGTTATTTTTAATAGAAAATAATAAAATTTTGGTGAAAAAATAAAAAATAAAAAATAAATGTTTAGGCCCGCCCAAAGCCCGAATACCCCCTAGGCCTGGGCTTGGGCCTAGTTTTCTAGCCTGTGGGCCAGCTAGGCTTGATTTTTTTTTTTCCGGGAGCCTGCAAGGCCCGACATGAGCTCGGCCTGCCCCAAGCCCGAATGGACCGGGTCGGGTCAAAATTACACCTTTACCTATATCCATAAAACACCTACAAACTTGGAAGGAAAATTAGTTGAGATTTGCCAAAATAGCATGTGACCATTGGAGCACCATTGCTATAATTTGGCAAAATAACACAATTCATTGCCAAATTATAGCAATGATAATGCTATTTTAGCAAACACCATTGGAGATGCTCTAATATACTCAAAAACTGTGTTTAACTTCCATTAGGTGTTGTCAACTTTTTAGAACCATACTCGCAGCTTCTACTCGAGATTTGCCCAATTTACGTGAAGAGGGGCTTTGCGTGGATTAGATGATTAGTCGAGATGCACGTAAATTAATCCGAACACTCGACCATCAAAAAAATATATATACTCAAAACTGTGTTGTAAATACTTACAATCGCGTGGCTTCTAAAAGTATGAAAATATTAAATTTAGGGAATGTTTGGCAAGTTAGGATTTTAGTTAAAAAGTTAAAATTATTTAAAAAATAAAAAAATTAAAAGGTTAAAAATTACTTTAAAAATGAAAAAAATTAAAAAGTTAAAAAATCATATAAAACTTCAAAGATTTTTTATCTTCTTTGTACTTTTTACATATTTTTTTCGTAAAAAGTTAAAAAAGTATTAAAAAAATTATTTGCCAAACCAACCATAAATGTATTGAAAGTAAAAAGACAAGATTTTGAAATAAAATACTACATATTATGAGAATATCATGTGACAATGTTTACATTAAAGGTGGGAATTTGACATATGACTCGGTAACATGACTTAAATCGTACATATAATTATGATTAATCATTTTTTTGATACAAACAAAAATTCGATACAACTCGATAATACGAATATTAATGAATTGTTTTAGGATTGAACATGCTGTCACTTGAACACGGCTCATTTGACGTGTATAATGATCCATTTCTACAAACATGTGAACACGAACTCACTATTAACTCACAAGTAACCCAAATGGGATTTGAATTGAATAACCCTAGAATTTTAAATGCTTTATTTTTAACTATTAAATCATATTTTGGCATTGAAAGAATTGTTTTGTTTTTTGAAAATTTGTTGGAGATTTTGATTTTAATGTGTTACAATAGTTCAGATTAAATGTGTAGCAAATTAATAATGAATATTTTGAATTATTTTCATAAATATTGACTTATATATTAGAAAAAAATACATTTAAATGAAAATAACTCAAAATAATTATAATTTCATAAAGGTGCAAGTGAGCATGTGTCTTGTGCAAGTAAAATATGTTTAAATGCAATAACTTTGAATTAATCCTATTTAAAATGTAATTTCCCTTATATATTGTAGGCGTTAATTTTTAAACATATTGTTAACCTTGTGCGTGTAATATGAAATAAGTTTTTGTTTGACATATATTAAAGCTAATAAGTTTCAGCATTTCGTATTTAGTTCAATTATAAACAAGTTAAGTGTCAAGATAATTGACATACTTAGTTAAATGAATTGTGTTAGTGGTGGAATGTTTTGAACATGAACTTGCAATGACACAATACGAAAATAGCACGACATAATACAGTTTCTTTACGTGATATTCTCAGCAAATGAAACATAATAATACACAATTAGTGGTTCATTATTTATCTCCTAACTACTGAACATATGTGATCAAATATGTCTCATTTATAAAAATTTTCATGAAATCACAAAACACACTAAGGCCCCGTTTGGAGACTTACCTTTTTAGCCAAAAAGTCAAAAAGTTACATTTTTAGCCAAAAAGTCAACAATTCATATCAAAAGTTAAAGATTCTCTTTTCTCTCTACTTTTTGCACATCTTTTCGTAATTAGCCAAAAAGTCATCCCAAATATATAAGTTTTTTTTACCTACTTTTTTAGCCAAATAAGCAAAAGTTACTAAATTAGCATGTTCCCAAACGAGGCATACACACAATAGTCATTGATCATTTCCTAACTACTTAACAAAAATGAGTCAACATGCGTCACGTGTTAAATTATTAGTTACGTAATTAGTTTGAAGTACATAAACAATATCACATAACACTTTTATTACAAAATATATAACTTCTATAATAAAAAGTATAACTTTTTCTTCTTACAAAAAATATAACATTTTGCTTGTCATAAAAAAAAAATTGTAAACTTTTATCACAAAAAATAACAAAACAGGTTATTCATAATTCTAGAGATGGATATTATAATTTCACCATTCATATAACTTTTATCATAAAAACCATAATTTTCATTAAAAAAATTCATAACTTTTATCACAAAAATCTTATTTTTATTCAACAATCGCCCATCATAGCATTTTTCAAAATAATTACACAATTAAAAAAAAAGAAAAAAAAAAAAATCCACTGCCCACTCCAATAGCTACAAAGGCCCTTCCAACAAATTACGCATCACCAAACAATGATCTCTCCACCAAAATCTTTGTTTCTCAGGTCCATTTCCCTCCAATTCCTTTCAAAACCGTTTCATTTCTCAACTACCACTTCACGCATCACCAGACTCACCAAGCAAGAATGTATACATCATCTCAAAGCCTGCAAATCCATTGAAGAACTGAAACAAATCCAATCCCAGGTCTTCAGGGTTGGTCTCCATCAAAACCCAGACGCCCTTAACAAGCTCATGGTCTTCTGCACAGACCCATCTCTTGGAAACTTACGCTACGCAGAAAGAATCTTTAATTTCATTGAAGACCCATCTTTGTTTGTCTGCAATGTGATGATCAAGGCCTTTGTAAAGAATGGTTGCTTCAGGAGAGCTATTTTGCTTTTTGATCAGTTGAGAGTAGAGGGTTTGTGGCCTGATAATTTCACTTATCCCTTTGTTTGTAAGGCGATTGGGTGTTTGAAGGAAGTTTTGGTAGGTGAAAAGGTTCATGGGTTTGCTGTGAAGTGTGGGATTGAGTTTGATTGTTATGTCTGCAACTCGTTGATGGACATGTATGCTGAACTGGGTTATGTTGAGAATTTGAAGAAGGTGTTTGATGAAATGCCCCAGAGAGATGTGGTTTCTTGGAATGTTCTGATTTCTGGGTATGTCAGGTGTAGCCAATTTGAGGATGCTATTAATGTTTTCCGGCGTATGCAACAGGAAAGCGGTGCGAAGCCCAATGAAGCTACTGTTGTAAGTACTCTTTCGGCTTGTACAGCATTAAAAAATTTGGAACTTGGTAAAGAAATTCACTATTATGTTGTTAATGAACTTGGATTCACCATTATAATTAGCAATGCCTTGTTGGATATGTACTCCAAGTGTGGTTGTTTGAGTACTGCCCGACAAATTTTTGATGCAATGCCTATAAAAAATGTGATCTGTTGGACTAGTATGGTATCTGGGTATGTGAACATTGGTCAATTGGATGAAGCTAGAGATTTGTTTGAGAGAAGTCCAGTAAGGGATATTGTTCTTTGGACGGCTGTGATTAACGGGTATGTGCAGTTTAACCGCGTTGATGAGGCAATTACCTTGTTTCGGGAGATGCAAATCGAATGGATTAAGCCAGATAAGTTCACGGTGGTTGCTCTCCTCACGGGTTGTGCTCAGTTGGGAGCTTTGGAACATGGGAAATGGATCCATGGATACATTGACGAAAACAGAATAACAGTTGATGCAGTTGTTGGTACAGCTCTTATTGATATGTATGCCAAATGTGGGTGCATAGATAAATCCCTAGAGATTTTTCATGGGTTGAGAGAGAAAGATACGGCGTCATGGACTTCAATCATTTGTGGGCTTGCCATGAATGGGCACAGCAGCAAAGCTCTGGATTTGTTCACAGAAATGAAACAAGCAGGGTTTAGACCTGATGATATCACCTTCATCGGTGTTTTCAGTGCTTGTAGTCATGGAGGACTAGTAGAGGAAGGCCGCACATACTTTAATTCGATGAGAAAAACATATCAGATCGAACCAAAGTTAGAACACTATGGGTGTCTGATTGACCTCCTTGGTCGTGCTGGTCAACTTGATGAAGCAGAGGAATTGATTGAAAATATACCAAAAGAAAGTGATGAAATTGTAGTCCCACTTTATAGTGCTTTGCTCAGTGCTTGCAGAATCTATGGCAATGTTGATATGGGTGAACGTGTGGCTAGACGACTTGTAGAAATTGAACATAGTGATTCTGGCACTCATACTCTTTTGGCCAATATCTATGCATCCACTGACAGGTGGGAAGATGTAACGAAAGTGAGAAGGAAAATGAAAGCTCTCGGAATCAAGAAAGCGCCTGGGTGTAGTTCAATTGAAGTTAATGGTAATGTTCACGAGTTCTTAGTCGGAGATGCATCTCACCCAAGGATGAAAGAAGTTTATTCCATGTTGGATAGCATCACTAAACCATTGTCAGGCTTAGAAGAAATTGAAATGGAACAAGCTAACCCAGTTGCAGAAATTTCATGACTGAAGCCATATTTTCGCAAATCCAAAGAGTGCTTTTTTATATAATGCCATGGTGTTAGCAGCACTGTTTATTTTTAACAAGACATAAAACGATTTGAGAATTGACATTGAGGCGAGTGTTATGAAGATGTTGATCTGAAAGGTGCAGGACAGATGCTCAAGAAAGTTCCAGCTATTTGGTGAGCAAGACAATGAATTACAGTGCATTCCAAAGGATTCACCGACAAACGTACCAGAAGGCATGCCAATTTGACTTGCTAACTTAACAAGGTTAAACCTGGTAAGCTGATGTAATATACAATTCACTGTGATAATTTCACACAATTCATTGAAGTGCTTTGTAGAAATTACAAAAAAGAAAATGTCATGGATTTAATGCTGAAACCTGAAGGACATGTTTATGAACTCTGCATCCAATATGCCTTACTAGTCATGGATTTTTTGCCTCAAACAGGATGAATTTCAAGATTTGTAACTTGTAAATGTCACAGAGATTTATGTTCTGTAAGTAATTTGAATAGAAAACGAATCTTTTATATCAGTTAAGTAAGCTTTGTATATCAGAAAATCTAACAATTCTATAAAAATTAAATTGATTGCTATTGTGATGCATAAAATCCTTTTTATGATGTGTGCATACTTGACGCTTTATAGTGCTTATTACCACACAATCAAACCTATAATCCACCCAGATACAAGCATGTAGGAACCAAGTTTGGTGGCAGGCCTTGTTAGTTGGAACTGGGTGGGATAGGTCAAATGGTTTCTCAATCTGCTTGGAAGTGGAAAGTCCAATATCTTTTAGATTTATGCAATTTGAGGTGGAAAGTTTCTTGGATCTCTTGCAACCCTTAGGATACCAAACAATTATTTTAACTGTGACATGAACAAAAGGGTAATACCTAATCGGATATATGGTTTTCCGATGAAAAGGAATGTATTCTATTATTTTCACATAGTATTTAAATAAAGTTGATCTTGTGAAGTGGAGCAATCACTAATGTACTAAAATCTTAAAATGACCTTATAATATTATACTAAGCAAGCATTAAAAAACAATTGATAGTTGATCAATTTGAATAACCAAGTCAAGCCAAGCATTGTCTCCTAATTAATTAGAGTTAGCTATATTAATTCTTTTATGTCATTCCGCTTTGCCATGAGCTATATATAGTCAAGTTGTCCCATTGAATGTCATGGTAAATAGTTATAACTTATTTTAAAGGAACACAATGGAATCATGCACTCCTCCTCTCTATATCAACAAGAAAAAACCAAACTATCTTGACAGAAGGAATCCAATTTAAAGAGATCGAAGTTAGCTTCTTCATGTACCACCATAAAAAATAAAAAATAAAAAGAAAGAAAGAACTAGCATAATCATGTAATAGCTTAGGGAATTGTGAAAACCCTTGACTTTGGTCAATGAGTTGTAGAACAGATTGGCAAGAGCAGAAAATAAGAATCTCCATGGGATAGACCACACCTCAAAATTACTTCTTTTAGTCTGTCTCTGTGACCAATTAGGATCATACATTTGTTGCATTCTTTTCTCTGATTTAAGTGCTTCTGGTTATGTTTAAGCTACTTCAGGAAGCGTTAACATTTGCAGCAGCTAATATCTGACGTTGCTGCACGACAGTAACAAGATTTCCTAGTCATGGTGACAATGTGATAAAACCAGACAACAGAGGTGGGGCCTATTGCAACATCGGCAGAGAATTCTACTGCATTTGGAGGTAAAAATGGCATGAAAGCTAGTATTGCTGCTATTTTCAGTTGTGGCTTTGCCTGATGACTGCAGGAGGGGAACCATGGTGAACATGTTATTCAGTAAATGTTCTTCATGTTGAAAATCTAGTGATGAACTCACCATATTAGCTTGAGTAATGATATATACAAACAGAATATTTGCACATGACTTTTATATAGAAAGATATAACTTCTTGTGATATCCCTTCATTTCAAATAGGAAAATGATATACAAGTCTACCTTTTTAGACCCATTTTCTAGATTCAATAATGTGTAAGTGATATGATTGGTTAATGTTGAGAAGATACGGGAGAGTGTTAGCCTAGATATCATAATTGATTACCACGTCATTGAACTTACAAATTCGGTCTAATTTTTAGACCTGTACAGCTTCACTATTTTGACTCCTAATTTCAAAAAGCTACCATCACTTCACTGTGAATGAGGTTTTATTATGTTCCTAAATCATTTTCCTGTTAGTTTTTGGGCAGGTACTTAAGTAGCCCCATTATTCTTATTGGGCTTAGGTCCAATTACAGAACCATTGGACCAAGTCCAGCCAATGAAACAATGGCTACTAGAGGGGGTGATTCTATTTCCATCCAAAAAATTATTTAGTATGACAAATTTCTTAGTAATTCTTATTAAATTATTTAGAGTTATAATTTATTCTCAATACACCTTATATTTTTTTACAAATAAATTCATAATTTGTGGTATACCCAACTCTATTGGTTTGTACTTTAGAACGGTTGAATTCGGAGGGGTTGTACCTTTTGGAGTTCAAGAAAAGCATCCTAGATGAATTTAATCATTTGGGAAATTAGAATTCCAATGACCAAACACCATGTGCTTGGAAGGGTGTGAATTGCACATTGGATTATAATAATCCTTGTTGATTGGAATTCGATGAACTTTTCTAGGATTCTAACCTAAGTATTTGCAGTTTGGTCAATCTTAACAATATTGATGTTTCTTACAATGGATTCACAGGAAATATTCCCAAGGACATTGGAAATTGCTCGAGGTTAGAAAGTCTTTATTTGAACAATACTGAGAATATGGAAATTTGCTTTGTATCAGAACAATCTCATTGGTAAAATTCCTACTGAGATTGGGAACAACAAGATTTTGAAGAAGCTATACTTGTACATGAACGAATTGATGATAATGGTAAGTTTTGGTGGGGTGAATTGAAATTTTAGAGTAAAGAAGATGATGAAGAGAAAATAATTAAAATTAAGAAAGAAGATGACGAAATTTGAATATGAAAAACAAAAATGTTTAAGATCCCATTTTTTTTCCACCCCCTTTGACCCTCTCTTTCTCATTAGTTGGATTTTCTTTTTCTTTTTTTATGTTTTCCTTATCCTCCAATCACCACCAATCACATTATGTGCGGATGATGAGAGTGGTGATTGAAGGGGGCTATGAAAAATATGTATAAGTGATTAGGGTCTAAGGTGTATCATGATAAAAAAAAAAAAAATTATATTTTATATTAAGACTTTATATATATAGTCTTTATTAATATATTTATATTAAAATATAATAAAAATTAAAATTTTAATTGAACATTTAAGTTACTATTTGAGTGCAAATATAATCACTCCTACTACAGGGGTGACTTTCGTCTTTATGAGAAGATTAGGTCACGGTGAAGAGTGTCAACACACAAGTGGCTAGTCTCTTAGGTCTCGTATGAGAACATATTTTTTTAGTAATTTTTTGACTAAAATGTAATGTAAAAAAAATTAATATGTTTAGAATGACTTTTTAGCTTTTTACGAAAAGATGTGTAAAAAGTAGAGAAAAAAAGAATCTTGACTTTTTGATATAAGTTGTTGATTTTTTAGTTTTTTTTAGTAATTTTTTGACTTTTTGACTAAAAGGACACTTGCCGGCCTAATATCAGATTCTATGAAATTCTTTAATTTTTGATTCCCTCTT